TCTTTCTTTCTATCCTCCAATACAACACTGTATCTACTAAATGGCCAGCTAGTTTCCCTTCCCATGACTTCCGAACTGTTATGTTGTGGAAGGAAAATATTTTGATTGAAGATTAACGTCACACTTCATCACTGTTATTTGCCATTAAAAACGGATTAAATCTGGAGCTTTACCTTCGGCTAACGTTGCAAATCCTCATCAAACACGGATTATGGTAATTGCGCCGCCCTTTTGTTAACTTACTGCATGAAACAGTCGGTTATGAAGACTGGGGAAGGCTTTAAAATAACGTAGCGAGACTCACCTGGGTTGGTGTTAGATGTATTAGGGAAGCTAAATGTTCCCGTTCGGGAGCCGAAAGGTACTTTTGCTGCTTAAAGCGCCGCTCCAACTCGTAAACCTGGAAGAAATAAAAATCTATGTTGTACCTACCTACTGTGTATTGTATTTTGGTATTAAAAAAATCAGTTAAATGGTGCAGATTGAAAAGTGTCACAGTTTTCTCGGTATTAAACGTTAAACATTTTCTTTGGCGACAGATCAGAATTTTCAATTCTACCGAATCCAATGAATTTTCCAACTTAAAGTAAGTTTTTCCAGGAAAATATTCGAAATTCTGGGCTTTCAACTGTTTGGATTTGCGAGTAGTGAATTTTATAAGCCGGGCGTGCACGTTTGAGGCCCCTTTTTATGTACCTAACAAGAAGTTCGAAAAAAAATTTCAACTCGTCGATCGGTCAGATTGTAATGTAATTTTCTGCACATAACAAACGAGGATTTTGCTCGAAATACCCCGAATTGCACGATTGAGGCGTATTTTCAAGTAAGTGTTTGAAAAAAATTTTGAAATCGACGGATGCTCTGGTTTTAATGCAATTCAAAGTTTGAAAAATTGTAGAAATTTAATAAAACCTTCCAATCTAATGCGACTTTGTTGACTAAGCAAACGAAACTCGGCCTTTGCGGTGTCCAAAGCGGCAGCCTTGGATCTTCGCACTTTCGCAAGTTACGAATTTTTTGGACAAAAAAATTGATACAAGATAATAATCAATTAATTAACCAGTGACAAATATTCTTCTTAAAATATTTTTTTAAACCTCATGCTTCCGTTGCCGGATCCATGAATATTTAACATATTTGTTTCCTATTGGCGCAAGTAAATAAAAAAATGTAAAAGTGGACGACACGTTTTTGACCTCCGATTCGTTTCGCAAGGCCAACTAACACACGTTATGCATTACATCAACATCCAAGTTGACAATCTCAATGATGGAGGAATTGTTGATTCAAAACATCTGGAAGTCAACACTGTTCAGGCATCTAATTAATGTTTAATGTGGTGAAAAAAAAGTAAACATTGCCTTGGGCGGTTGACAAAAGAAGTCAGCTGAAGAGAGTGAAAACTGATGGCTCAAATAAGGCGTAAAATTAATTCATTAATGACAATAAGTAATGATCTTCTGTTTCCGTATGATTTTCTTATTAATGGCAGGTTTTTGCAATTTTTCAAACGCGTTCGTTTTCATTAGGTATCTAAAAGGCTCCAGCAGATAGTCTCTACCCAACTCGAATTTATTTTCGCATAGTATGATCAATATCAATCAAATTTCAAAGATTCAGTTTTTCGCTACGTCGTTCTCACAATAGAAGAGATTAATGCGCGATTTTTGGCCTCAACATGATGAAGAGTCTTACTGAAATGTTCGGTAAGTTTGGGCTCAATCGGGCCACTAACAGATTTTCAAATTCAGTCTTTCTTGCCTCAGCCGGAATTCCAAAAAATGTCCAAAAGATAGAAGAGCAATTGCTTGCGCAAAAGTTATGATAGTGTTAAGGCCGATTTTCAATGAATTCCCAGTGAATTTAAAGTCGAAAAACCGCATTTTTGCAGTGAAAGCTTCCCTTTTAACTCTCGAAACGCAGAAATGCATGCAGAAAATGGATGCAAAAGGTGAAATTGGACAGAGGAAGAAAGAGCAATTGTCTCAGTTTCAAAGAAAATTTCAAATTTCAAAATTAGAGAAAAATTAACGGCACAGAAGAAATAACAAAAAATGCACATTAACTTGCAAAAGCAAACTGTAGGTAACGGAAGTAAAACTAGGAAATTGCGACTGAAATAATAGAAAAACTTGTTACAATTGAGAACATTGAGACGCAGAATCTTGAGCAGAAGAATGTTTTTGAATGCAAAATGACATCGTCAACTCGCAGAGAAAAACATTAGATTTTGAGAAGCAAGCCCCGAAAGGCCTTGAAAAAACATTTGACAATTTCTCTGGTAATACGTAGGTAACTCGAAACACCTTAGAACTTAGAAAAGGGTTTGAAACAGAAAATTTTTGGACTTTGCAAAAAAACCCTCTCGCCCACTAGTGCAAAAGCATCTTTCGTAAGCGACGGGTGAAGAACACAGAACTTACAATGTAAAACCAATCAAGAGTGCAGATCCAGTCTTCGCCACAATCTTCAATTCCAAACCCAACCAACTTTTGGCAAAAAGGAATTTTTTATTGGAAAACACCAACCAGTTTAATTGCTGTCAAAATGCCATTTCAACTCTTCTGAACAGTCACTTGATAATCGAAAAATGGAAAAAAGCGCGTCGCGATGTCCGGCAGCGGCAATCGACGTTTACCGTCGGCATCCGGCAAACTTTCGTTTGTTACGTGACCATCAGGGCCGTAACTAGGCAACGGGTAGGGGGGGCAAGGGGATTTACAAGTGAGTCACTGGTAGAAAGTGGGCGTCGCCCTCTGAATAAGAGCCTACCTGGGCTTGCGTGAAGAGGACCCGCCTCTTGCGGCGTTGCGCCAATGGGAATTGCATGGGCTTCGAGTCGGGCACGCCCCCGCACGGACCCAAACCGGGCATGCCGGCGGCATTCAAACCATGGCCCATGTTGGCCGACGCCGCTGTTGTTCCCATCAATCTGGAAACTGCAAGAAAATACCATCAGAATCATCCATAACTGCCACAAAGCAATCAAATCGGGCGCCAGTTACGTCATTTGGACGTTCCCAGCACCAAAGTGACGTTGATTGGACGTTAATAGACGTCGCTTTTTTAGGGTTGGTGTTTGTCTGTTGCTTACCAACTTCAGTGCAATTTTTTAATCTTCTGTTTATCCTGAGCCATTCGCGAGCGAGATTTTCATTTTTTATAACCAGTCGCATTTTCCGCCCGAAATTTATTTAAACCTTTTGGAAATTTAAATTTGGAAAATTATGGAAAATGAGTGGACGGTATGGAGACTCAGAGGGTCTCATATAATTTTGCACATTTAACACTTGAAGCTTGATCTCAACATTTCCAAAATTACAGTTTTTCATCTGCTTGAACTGACGAGTTGTAATTTTTTAAACACACACGCGTAATTTTGCGTCAGTCTTCTAAGTAACAAGAGTTTGAAAAATCCTGGAAAATGAATGGGCCCCATGAATCTACTAAAACTTTCAGCACTCAACAAATGAGGATTTTTCTCAAAATGGCCAAAATTGCAGCAATTTGTCTGTTGGGATTTGCGAGTTGTGAATTTTTAAACAGAGGCGTGCATGTTTGTAGCGCGTTTCTGAGTAACAGAAAATTTGGAAAATTATGGAAAACGAGTGGATCCTCTGAGTCTCATATAATTTTGTACGTTTAACAATTGAAGCTTGATCTCAACATTTTCAAAATTGCAGTTTTTCATCTGCTTGAACTGACGAGTTGTAATTTTTTAAACACACACGCGTAAGTTTGCGTCAGTCTTCTAAGTAACAAGAGTTTGAAAAATCCTGGAAAATGAATGAGCGGCATGAATCTACTAAAACTTTCAGCACTCAACAAATGAGGATTTTTCTCAAATAGGCGAAAATTGCAGCAATTTGTCTGTTGGGATTTGCGAGTTGTGAATTTTTAAACAGAGGCGTGCATGTTTGTAGCGCGTTTCTGAGTAACAGAAAAATTTGGAAAATTATGCAAAACAAGTGGACCCTCTGAGTCTCATATAATTTTGCACATTTAACAATTGAAGCTTGATCTCAACATTTTCAAAATTGCAGTTTTTCATCTGCTCGAACTGACGAGTTGTAATTTTTAAAAAACACACGCGTAAGTTTGCGTCAGTCTTCTAAGTAACAAGAGTTTGAAAAATCCTGGAAAATGAATGAGCGGCATGAATCTACTAAAACTTTCAGCACTCAACAAATGAGGATTTTTCT